AAACCATGGTTTTGGTTTTCTAGAAATCCTATTTTTCGGAATTTACTGATGTTTATTATTTTCTTGGATTCTTGTTGGAAATAATTTTTTCTATTCAAATCACTATCGGAATTCTTTCTAGTACTTACGGCTACGAAAAAAAATCCAAATTACACCGGGTCGCACAATTTTGGCAGCCACTGTATGTTATTAACGATTAAATATATATTATTTTAAAACTAGTACAAAGATTTATCAATCGAATTCTTGTCTATATCATTTGCTTAATATTACTATACTTCAGAAAAATATATATTCTTTGTTTTTTTATCTAGCTGAATCAAGTCTTTCATTGTACTCATCGATGTACTTATACAATCTAAAGTTCATTGATGTCAAGAAAAAAAAGAAACATACATACATTTAGTTCCTTATTTTGTTGTTAAAATGTTTTTCTCTTTTTTTTTTTTTCTTGACATTATTTATTGACATATAAAATGATCATACCATTTATGATCATTACTTGCTAAACAACAAACAACAACGTGCTCGTAAAGATACGCCATATATCTTAACAATACTACGTTTTTATTTGCTGGCTTTTATAAAACCAATTTTATTCGAGTTGATCATTGATGAAATACTTTAAACTGATATTGTATATTTGCTTTTAACTGAAGTACAGAACGCGAAACAATTAGTCAAGATTATATGTACGTAAATATTTTTTTCCTATTCTTCATCATCTAGAATCATATTGCGCTCATACTAACCAATCATGTTATTCAATATTCTTTATGCATGTATTTTAAAACCTTGGCAATTCACAACGAAGGGCAACAAGGACAAAGAATATTTCTCATAATATTAAATCTTTTTTTAGATATGTTTCGTAGTTTTAATCGTCGTTTTATTCAACATGGACTTCTTTTTTGTACATCAGCTCTCGGTACCGGTTATATCGGACAATATATTCTTAAGGTTAATTGAAAATTTTGTTATTTTTTTTTTTTCCTATATTCTTGATAGCTGTTATAATTCGAATTATTTTAGAAAAATAAATTAAATGCTGCTAGTCCTACATTACATACACCTGAAATATGGTTAGATAATTATCCAACACGTGAAGCTCAAATTAATCAAATGTCAAATGAATCTGAATATGATATTGTTGTTATTGGTGGTGGAGCAACAGGTTGTGGAGTTGCTGTTGATGCAGCAAGTCGTGGTATGTTATATTTTAATAATAAAATTTTATTTCTAATATGTTTGTTTTTTTATTTATTTCAATGTAAAGGTCTCAAAGTAGCTTTAGTTGAAAAATATGATTTTAGTAGTGGTACATCATCACGATCAACAAAATTAATACATGGTGGTGTTCGATATTTACAAAAAGCTATAATGCATTTCGATCGTGAACAAGTAATTAAAAATAAAAAATTTAATAATTTAATAATTAATTATAAATTTAATTTTTTTCAAAAATAATTTAGTATCATATGGTTAAAGAAGCTTTATATGAACGCGGTAATCTTCTTAAAATAGCTCCACATTTATCATATCCATTACCAATAATGTTACCTGTTTATAAGTAAATAGAAATAATTGTTATTGTTTTTTTTTATCTCTCATGTATCTATTATTTAGATGGTATCTATTACCATATTATTATGCTGGTATAAAAGCATATGATTTTGTATCAGGTCGACAATTACTTCGATGGTCTTATTTAATAACAAAAAACAAAGCATTAGAATTATTTCCTATGTTAAAAAAAGAAAAACTTGTTGGTGCTATTGTTTATTATGATGGACAACATAATGATGCACGAATGAATATAGCACTTGCATTTACAGCAGCACGTATGGGTGCAAATATTGCAAATCATTGTGCTGTTACAGAAATCATACATGAAAATATTAAAGTTGATAATGCTCAAGGACAACCTGAAACAAAAAAAATTATTCGTGGTGTAAAATGTTTTGATCGATATCAAAGTATGAAAATATCATTAAGATATGTTGCTTGAGATTATACGAAACTAATAGTTATAAGTTGAAATATGATGACTAATATGCAATGAATATTGTATTATGAAAATGTGAAAATTATATTGTGAGTGTGTTAACTTTTCACTCGTTTGAAAAATATAAGAAAGTTTAAAATGGTCTAGTAACAGATAGAACTAGAGATGCAACATATCCACGAAAATCGACATCTTACCTCATCATGTTTCGTAAGCTCGTAACAAAATGAATATATTAAGAGAAACGATAATCGTTTGCTAGCGAAGAAATGATCCTTCAAACAAGTTGAAGATTTATAATGAAACTAACGCATTTATATGCTGTTTTCGGAATCTTTCAGTCGTCGTTTTTTTAATAGTCGAAATGATCGTTCTGGTCGAAGCCTTGGGATTTAGATTAATATAGCTTTACATTTTAATTTGATTTTAAATGATTCCAATCACTTGGATTTTATTTGAATTTGGTACGATAATGTACTAAGATTTGGAGATGAGAATTCTCAACACAGAACAATTTCGTTCTTTTCTTGAGAATGAAAAGTCTTGGAATACTTCAGTACAATTCGGAAGAATTATTACCATATCCTGGATTTCTTTCAGATTTGTTATATCCATACGTCGAGCGTAAGTCTTGAAACAAAATTTTTGTTTATTTTCTGACATCAGAATTTTGTGCGCTTGTCGAATGTTGGCTTAGAAATTTTAATCTCAGTTTTCTAAGCTCTTAGAAAGCAGATTAAATGGTAAATTAATAGGCTTTTACTAGCCTTGATGAGTCTTTTTTTAATAGCATTGAAAACGATCGAAATCGATAGTCTTGTTACGAGAACATTTCTTTACAAAATGGTATATTGAACTAAACTATAGCTTTCTTTCAAGTAAACCTATAGGCACTTTGTCAAGAGCTTCTTTCTATACAAAACGCGTTTTTGGTGCAAAAAATTCGACTTGTATTTTATGATGAATGCTCAGCATTTTTTTGTACTTTCTTGGATTTTGATGGTGTATCACGATATCTTTTTTTCACTAAATTATTTTATTTCTAGACGTATGGTCAACTATATTATCAATAGAATTGAGTATAATATACAGCCTAAAAAAAAATGTTTAGAAAATATAAGACGAGCAAATAAAAATTAAACAAAAAAAAACTTAATATACTTCTGTACTTGTTTTACTTTATTTTAAATGTTTTGTTGTATTCTTATTTACCAAACATTTATCTTAAGCTCTGTATTACACTAAATCTATTGATTGATGATGTTTGTTAAAGATTTGTCCAAATACGTAAATACATCATGTATTTTTTATTTTCCCATCAATTAAAAACACATGAATTGTTGATTTTTTTCTGCTATGTTTTCAGGTGTTATACCCTAATTATTTCTTTTCATTCTTTGGTATATTTCTTTACGTCATCACACATACTCTTTTGTTCTTCTACCTTCGGTGATTATTGTCACTGAATAAACTGAACTCACAGTCACAAGATTTAAAATATTCG